TTACATACATACATCTGTAGGCTGCATGCATTCTTCAAAATCTCTTTCATAAAAAATCTCACAGAATCTCTTCTCAGTTCTTACTTTCTCAACGATTTTTTTTTACTGTGGTGAATTCTGTTAAAAACCATAAATAGCGAGAAAATTTTAGCCACATGCGCTTTATTTTTGTTACCTATACAAAAAATATTTAACAAGTAAAATATTTTGTCGTCAGATGTCACTAAAGTTGCTTTATTGAAAATAAATAATTTTCATATACCATATAAATGAGAATGATATTAAGTTTTAAAGGATAATGGCTAAAAACATGTAATATTAAAGTACAAAATAAAAGATCTGTAAAAATTTTGTCAGAATATGACTGCGTGTATTGTTCTGTTTCTTTTAATTTTATAATGTAAGGTGATGTTTCTTCTTCATGAGATATATCCTGAATATAATTCTAATTTATTCCGCTGACATTTACAGCACATCATTAAAAAAATATGAGAAAATAAAATTATCAGCAAAGCAATATAGTATATGGAATTAAGCGAGGATAGGAAGGAAGGAAATCATATTTTGAGAAATTTTATTTTCAATTTCGTTGTCACATTATTTAGTTCTCATTTCATAGGATATTTAGTTTTTATTTAGACTTCATTGTTAACATTTTGTAGATTTGAATGTTTTACACATAGCATAGAGTGAATTTATACATAGAATATATTTTTTAAAACTGAAAAATTATTTTTGGCAATATTTTTATGATGTTATTGTTTTTATAGTTGAAAATTATATATATATATATATATACATATATATTTGAATAGATTTATTTTTAAAAGAGAAAAATGTGCTTTTAATTTATTATAATTTAAATTATTTGAAAACAAGTGATTTGAATGCAATTATAAAAATAAGAATAAAACTTCTAGTAACTTCATTAGATTAACTGTAATATAAAAGGATCTAAAAAGCTAATAATTACGCTTTATAATAAATTATTAACATTTATATAGACGATCAAGTTTTTATATTAATGCTATTATTATTTTTCAAACCCATCTTTTTACCGACCGTATTATGTATACAATAGGTAGGTTATGTGATGGCAACAAATTTTGCATATCGAGTTTTCGGTGGGAATGCACTTCTCCATTGTAGGGAAGTGTAAATAAGCTATTTTTGTTACCCTGTTGGTCTATCTGTCTGTGTGTGCACGCGTGTGTCTTAAGTTCGCCTGAACCGATTTTGATGAAATTTTATATATAAGTTTATTTTGACTATGGCACGGATTGATAAACTTTTGGGATATATCAGGCCTCAGGAACTGGACTTTTTATCGGGCCTGTTTTACATTTTTGAACATTTTAAAGAAAATATTCAACCGATTTACTTGAAATTTCATATATAAGCTTCGCTCGACCGTCCGCGAACCGTCTTCCTTTTGGAAGAAATCAGGCGTCAGCAACTAGACGTTTACTACGGGCCAAATATACATTTTTGCGTATATAAAGAGAAATAATCAACCGATTTCATTGAAATTTAATAATTAAATTCCTCGTATTGAAACAATGAACATATAAATTTTTTGGAAATATTAGGGCTCGGAAACTGATCTGAGGGCCGATTTTACAAAAAATTGGAAAGAAGTATTTAACAAACATTTTTATAATATTCTGTAACACTTTCACTTAACTAGAACATTGCGGTCGGCTAAGTGCTGACCACATCAAATTTTTGTGTTATGCTAGCAATTTAGTTTAAATTTTTGAATTTTGAACGCTTAAAGAGACTAAAATTTTTAGAGCAACAGTCGGCAAAATGCGGCCCATTATTCTATTTGCAAGAAAAAAAAATATTCGACTATTAAAATTAGAAAAAAATTTAGACGATATAGAAACATAAAATTCTGTACAAATTTATTATTTGTCAAAAAAAACTATCAATAAAGTCAGTGGAAATTATCATTTTTTCTTGTAAGTAGGTACTGTAAGAAACTGGAGTGGTTCATACTTATACCTCCATAGTACATATTTGCCTATAACCCACAAAAGTTTGACGATGGCTGGTTTAGACGATTCAAATGGAAAAGGTACAAATAAATAAGTGAGAGTCTCTTACCAAAAATGTTTAATTAGTTGTCTATAAATAGCTTACTTGTTCGCTGGAAACTGTATAATATTACTTGTTTGCAGGAAACTGTAATAACTCAAACAATGTTATTTTCTTTTTATGAATGTGCCAAATTATGAAGAACATTTTGCTCCATCTCTAAGCAAAATCCTACTTTTCTAACGAAAACACATTCCAGGTTGAATCTTCTTAGGTTTTTAACATTAATAGATATTTTATTAAATTTTTTCATTTTTAAAATATGTGGTGTTTTAGTTTTATGTACATTTAAACTTGAATCTTTTACAATTTTCGTTTCTAATTTTGTTAGAGTTCTCAGCAATCAAGCTTCCATTATTCTTTTAAAATCTTATTTTAACGCTAGAAGCTTCAATTAGTAAATGTATGAGTCGAGTTTCAAAACCTCGTTTTAAACCCTTTTAAAAAAGGGGTTGAGTAAATTTCTAATTTTTTGCTTTACTTTACCCAGCTACGCCAGTTAGTGTAACATGTATATTTTTAATTTCCAGTTTGCTTTCCGCGCATTTCATTTTTATGTTTTTTACATTTTTCGAAAAATATACTCAAAGTTATAGTTTTACAGGCAAAGACGCTCTATTGTCTTGTTAAAAAAATAATGTCTTGTTTAATAAGAAAGGATCCGCCATATTCTGTTAACTTATGTACTTGATTTGAAGAATATTTTTTCTCGTACACTACAACTCAGATGAGTCTCAATACCTAATATTTCATCAAATATAAAATCTATCCCAAAACAGTATTGCCTTGCCTTCTTGATCTTTTTACCTTCAATAGCAATAAATTTCTCTCCACTATTTCTTCAATACTATAAGGTCTATTGAAATTTTTCATGAACTCAAGTTTTTAATTTCTTAAAACTATTAATTTTTCTATTTGAAGCCTTCAATGCATTAGAAAATTGAATATATTATACAAAATTGTGTTGGTCACAGAATTTTATACAACATCAAAGTTTAACATAAATAACATATATATACATTTTATTTTATATTTAAAAGAAAATGGCTATAATAATTAAATATTTTCCTATGATTTGTTTTTATTGATTTTTGTGTTATTATGTATATAAAACAAATTAAGAAATTTCAATAGAAAACTTCATTTTACATCATCTGACACAATATTGTAAAAAATCTTGTATTCAAGTGAAAAATATATCGCGCCCGATCATTGCTCCTGAAAGTTTGAAAAATAATGTAAACAATGAGTTTTAAATAAAAAGGAAGTTTTGAACTGTAAAACTTTTATATTACTATATTAGATTTCTTAACTATAATTACACTTAGAATTATCCAATATTTTTGTAAATACAGTGGAATCTTCATATAACAAACACGAATATAGAGATTTTTTTAAATAAGATTCTCTTTATTACGAACAAAAAGCCGTAGTATAGGGAGTTTCGAAAAAAAATTCCAATATGTTATTTACATACGCATTATAAAAATTTAGACATGTACTAAAGTTTAAAATTAATTGTGAAATATTTGCGCCATTAATTTTTGACGAAAACAAAACCCATAGCCAAAATGTAAATCTCTACATACCACATCTCTAGACCACTGACAATAATGGCATGTCAATTGTCATCCGTAACAAAATGGCATTTAAAATTGAAGGAAGCGTTGTTCAAAATTTTTTAGTCTAATTGACAAAAGTTTTTTTTAAGATTTTTTTTGTTCGTTGTATGGAGAAATGGAAAGTCTAATTTGTTTCTTATATCATTTGTAGAGAAAATCGTTAAATAGATTGTCGTGATATAGAAATTTTTTCTATACAAAGTTTTTAAAAATTCTACTACCAAGCTATATATGAAAATGGAATTATAAAGAGGTTCCTCTGCATATACACACACATAATATGTACTTATTAGTCTGGCAAAACGCCATAATTACTTACAGGAGGAAAATAAGTGATATATGAAGTATATGAGTGCATATTTGCCGACATTCAGAATTCGAATGAAAAAAAAGCAAAAATAATAAGTAAAATAATAATTTGTTCATTGGAATCAAGATGTCCCATTTAATTCTTCAGTTCGCTTGAATGCTATTTTAGAATTAATTTGAGAAAAAAAAGCAATGACACCAAAGCTTCTATGTTTCCTCCCCTTTTTGTTTTATACAAAAATTGATAAATGATTTTAATGGTTGCAGTAAATTAAGTGCATTAGAAGTAATAAACTATAGTCATAACAATAATAGGAAGGAAAAAAGTTATTAATTGATAATAGCGTCTTTATATTTTGGTATGTGCTTTCTGGGTAACAAACACAAACACATAGACATTATTATATAAATATTTCCACTTCAATACATGAAAAATTTTAACTAAAATGTCAACGACTTTTCTAATTTTTTACTTTTGATAATTCTTATATAAGCATGATTATCCTTTCAGGAAAGACGTTATTAATGAAAGTGTTCGTTGTAAATTTTTACAGTTTTAAAGAATTCTAGATTATAAAATTATCTACGTGTATTTTAATTTTTAAAAGAATTACTGAAACATGATTTTTTAATTTTAAAATATTTCCGAAAGGAAATCTGCAAGTGATCAAAGACAAAAATGGCAATCTACTCACTTCCACACCTAAACAATTACAACGATGGAGAGAAAACTTTAAAGAAGTTGGATCCCCCGCAGAAGTTGGGCCACAACAAACATAAGATGAGCCCGACCCCCCGCAGTGTGAGCATCCTCGAATAAATACAGGCCCTGGCACGCAGCGAGAAATCATGGACGCACTAAAGAAGCTCAAGAACAACAAAGTAGAGGGCCCCGATGGTATCTCCGCATAATTACAACAAGTCGATATAAGTAGTATTGCAAGGACTCTTCAGCCCATACTGCAAAATATGTGGGAGAGTGAAAGAATCCCGGAATCCTGGAAGCAGAGGATAATTATAAAAATCCCGAAGGTGCTGGCACTTATAATTCTGTCCAGAATTGAACCGAAAATTGAAAAAACTATACGGGAAGAGCAAGCTGGGTTCAGGAAACAAAGGGAATGCATAGACTACTCAAACACTCTGAGATTATTTGTGGAACAATCGATTGAATGGAAATCCCCATTATACATAACATTCGTTGACTTTGAGAGATCATTCGACACAGTAAGGCGAGAGGCCATACGGAAAGCATTAACTAGTAGAGGAATACCACAAAAAATAAGCAAACTCATACAAGCTCTTTACAAAGATGCTGAAGTTAGAGTCCTCCATAATGGTAAATTGAGTGAACTACTACGCATCGAAGCTGGTGTTGTACAGGGTTGTCCACTCTCTCCCTATTCAACATAGCCTTAAATGAAATAATGCGGAAGTGAACAACCACTCCAAGGGGTATGCAACTGGCTTAAACGAGCCGCCTGGAATATTTAGAGTACGCAAATGACATCGCTCTGTTATCCCACACACATTCAGACATGCAAGCAAAATTGAATGAGCTGCATATAAGAGCAGCAGCGGTCGATCTGAAAATAAATACAAGAAAAACTAAATCACTCCGAATAAACGCAGAAAACACTATGAGAACTGATGTTACTGCTCATCATTGTCACATTAGATGGTATTTTATGAAAAATTTCAGCTTAGGAAGAATAGATAATTCGGTAAATTACATTTAGAACAAATACAACAATTTGCAGGACACCTTGCCGTTTTTCTGAAAAACTTTTGTTACATAAATAATCGTGGAACTGCCTATATTCGTTTAGTATAATTAATAAATTTTTTTTAAAAGTTTAATATTACGCGCTTATTAAATAATTATAGAGCGAAATGTAAATAATTGAATTTACAATAAAATGCATTGAATTTGCAATAAAAAGAAGAAGTAGGTTTAATACGGACATTTTTAAATATTTATGAGTATGTAAACTAATTCAACCTTAAAAAATTCCGTGATTTCTAAATACTGAGTTTAAGTTTTATGGGTTTTAGAACCCGAAATTAGCAAAAAAAAATTTTAAAAGAATATTTTTAATTTAATAATTTTGAACAATGTTAATTCAATCATCTAGTTATTAATAGCGTTGAATAAAATATCGAAAAGAAAGCGAAAACATAACCTTTCACGGGTTCTACGGCGTTGTATGTAATCAAAAAAATATTATGGTGAATAGTGTTTTCTAGTTTTTAAAATTACTTTACGTTTATCTTTTTCAAACATTTTTGTATTAAACAGTGAAATCTTAATTTTTAAAAATTTTTTACACTTAGAGAGCAAGAAATTGCGGCAATCTGAGAAAGAGTTTTATTATTTAATTGTTTCACCAAGAAATGAATTAGTTACAAAGTCTTTAATATTTAGTAATTCAACGTCCTCATCTTACTTGAAGTTCCTAATTCATTACATAGATTCTAAATTTATTGATTTAATATAGAGGATTTCAATGATGTTCATTAAAGAAATTAATGTTTAAATTTCAAACATTTTTTTTTTCGTATTATTCTAGCTCCTGAACATACAACTACACATACAATATTTGTGTGGTTAAAGAGATATCGAAGTTTTTAATTAAAAACTTAAATTGATTTACTTTATGTATATTTAATTTTTAAATACCACGCCTTTTACTATTTTCTTTTCAATATTACTCTGATTTATTTCATTTTCCTTTATTTTCTTTTCCATAAATCTTTGTACAGGACTCTATGTAAAACGAAAATTTCAAATTGATTTCAAATGCACAATTAAATCCACAGTACATCAATGAAATGGTTTTCTGAAAGTACGAATAATGATCTTTGATATCAAATGTCCATCTACATCATTTTATTTTATATTTTCATTTGATAAGGATAATCCTTATGGACATGGGTATATTGAAAACAGAGAATTGCATTTAAATTCGCCGATTTAATTTTAAAATTCAAAAAAAACATCATTTAAGCGAGTAATCAATAGTGGAGCTATTTGGAATTATTAAAAGCTTATTCTTTATAGAATAAAAATTTTAATATAACACTCAACATTCAGAAAATTTTTAGTACCTGAGATTATACCGAATGATTAAAAGCCTACATGTTTAACAAAGCGATAATATTTAACAAAGATTCAGAGATTAGGTGGGCAACTTTGTTTATTGCATTTTTATTTTAAATTCAAGAATCATTAGGGTTTATTTTTTGGGACTCAATATAACAAAGTCGAGCAAAAATTCTTTCATCTTATTTCAGATTAAAAGTCGATTGTCCCCTTTATATATTCAAAGTTCGATTTTTGTTTCTTTTGAATTAATATTATAGTACCGATTCATTAACTTTAGTTTTCGAAGTAATTTGCTATAAAAGAAAATATAAAAACCCTTTTGATAGGATCAAGTAATCTGTAGAAACTACAATATGAGCAAAATTGTATATCCATACACATTACAATGTACATATAGTTTTGTTATTGTTTTCCATCTCTATTTTTATTTGGACAATAGAAGAGCAAAAATGATAACAAAAGAATAATTGGAAAAAATAAGAAAAACTTTAACAGTTGTATTGCAAATTTTCTTCCATTCAATCGTAAATTGAACATTTCTTTATTGATATTCATAAGAATAAAGACAAAATTGCAAATAAAATAGCAAATATAAATAAAATGGTATCAAATAAAATTGTTAAAAAAAAGGTTTCACATTATCTGTACTTAATAACAAAAAGGGTGTATACTTATTATTGATGAAATGTTTTTAAAGACTTGAATTTTGAAATTCATACACATAATATAATATGTAGATAAAATTTTTAAAGAATTCTCCGCTTTCCTCTATGTTAGTTAAATTTCATAAGTTAATAAAGGAACGATACTAAAAATTTTAAAATGAATCATTCGAATGAAACGGCTTTCAATATTCCTAATGCAATAGAACGTTTAATATTACTTATTAGGAATATACAGAATCGGCTAACCTTTTCCAAATTCATTCTTTAAATTTGAAAAGATCCTTTTGATTTTTTTGCAAAATATTTTGCTTTTGTTTATAATTTTATGCACTTTTAGTTAAGAATTCATCAAAATCACCTACAATGCTAAATTTATGTAAAGGCAATCATTTAATATTATTTTTTGGTAAAAAACAAATGTGTTAAAAATTCATAGTGATTATTAAAAAGTACACAGATGAATTCCAATTAATCGAACGTTAATTAATTTAATTAAATAAAATATAAAGAATTACATTTTCACTATCCGTTCCGCAAAAAGCCAGGGTTGGAGGGATTTTTGCGGAACTGTAGAATGTACCAGGGATTCTGCCAGATTGAGCAGAGTGCTTTCCAAGGACCATACCGGTCCTTCTTTTCTGAAGGATGAGGGTGGGACATGGACAAAAACATCTATGGAAACTCTCAATTTACTAGTGGACACGCATTTCCCGGGTAATACCGGGTCGGCTCGGGAGGCTATCCAGTTGGATTCCCTTCCGGGGCAGCCTGTGTCGAGTGAAATGGTTGAAGCTATTATAACGGTGGAGAAGGTTGGCTGGGCGATAGACAACTTCTCTCCATACAAAACGGCGGGGATAGATGAGATATTTCCAGCTATGTTACAGAAGACGAAGGAACTAATAGTTCCGTGGCTTCTAAAAGTTTTTAGAAGTTGTCTTATCCTTGGATACGTGCCCAAGTCGTGGAGACGTGTAAAAGTTGTTTTCATTCCCAAACCGGGAAGAAGGGGCCATGAGGGCGCCAAAGATTTTCGACCAATTAGTTTGACTTCCTTCGTTCTAAAAGCGCTGGAGCGCGTTCTGGAGCTAGGGCTCAGGAACAGAATGAAGGAAGCTCGACTTTCGCCTTCCCAGCATGCATATTGCGGGGGAAGGTCCACAGACACCGCACTACACGAGGTAGTGAGGACTATCGAACAATCTATCCATTATAAGCAATACACGTTGGCGGCCTTTCTAGACGTGAAAGGGGCTTTCAACAATATTGGTTCGTGGGCCATAGAAAATTCTCTGACTCAGTTGGGGTTGGAAGATGCTTTGGTACGCTGGATATTATCCATGCTGCGGACCAGGATCCTGTATTCGGATCTTGGTGATAGTAGTGTCACAAGGTACATTAGTAGGGGAACGCCCCAAGGTGGGGTGATTTCGCCACTTTTGTGGCTTGTTGTTATGAACGAGGTTCTACTGCAACTTGAAGAAAGGCGAGTGAAGGCAGTGGCATACGCTGACGACCTAGTAATCCTGGTTTCCGGCTTTGACCTTCCAACAATCAGTGGGGTTTTGGAAGGATCTCTAAATGTGGTGAGCTCTTGGGCTAAAAGATGTGGCCTTGGAGTGAACCCAGCCAAGACGGAACTTGTACTTTTTACGACTAAGACAAAAATCCCGAGCTTTGGACTGCCCCGATTGGGTGGTTTGCGGCTCAGTTTGAGTCCGGCAGTTAAGTATTTGGGAGTCATACTCGACTCTAAACTTAACTGGAAGCTTAACGTGCAAGAGAGGGTGAACAGGGCCTGTACGGCACTTTACACCTGCAAAAAGATGGTCGGCAGGAGGTGGGGGCTGAAACCTAGAATGGTTTTATGGTTATACACGGCCATTGTACGACCTATATTAACTTACGGTTCACTCGTGTGGTGGCCGGCGTTGGGGAAAGCTTACAACTGTACCAAGATCGGTAGGGTACAGAGGGCTGCATGCATAAGCATTACGGGGGCATTGAGATCGACGCCCACGGACGCTATGGATGTACTCCTCCATTTGCTTCCACCAGACATCCATATTAAGAATCTGGCCGCGGCAAGCGCCGTTAGACTCAGAGAAGCTGAGTGCTGGCACGAAAGGCCGTATGGCCACGGCAATGTCCTTCAGTCACTACCGGACGGAGTGGTTGCGGATGCTACAGACTATTGCATCCCTAGACTTGAGCTTGACAAGAAGTTTCGGGTTGAGCTTCCGTCTCGCGGGCAGTGGAAAAGAAATCTTCCACTGCAAGGCTTTGATGTTGCTCTCTTCACTGACGGTTCCAAGGATAGGAATGGGGTCGGTGCTGGAGTATTTTCAGGGACTCAGAACATATCGGAGTCATATCGCCTTCCCAACGGATCAAGCGTGTTCCAGGCGGAAGTATTCGCCATATGGAAGGCATGCGAAATCCTGGGAAGGGATTTGGTTGTGGCCCGGGAGGTCGCAATTGTGACGGATAGTCAGGCTGCGATTCTGGCTCTAAATTCGCCAAAGATATTCTCAAAGTTGGTAGGGCTTTGCTACGATGAGCTGACGAGATTGTGCAGTCATCATCATAGTATCACCTTACTCTGGGTTCCGGGACATAGGAACATACCAGGAAACGAGCGG